TCGTCTTCTTATGAACGGTTTTTTAATATGAATGTTCAAGCTCTTCAGGATTATCTTACAGTGAGAGGAATATCGGTGAGTGGATACAAAAAAGCAGAATTGATTGCACGAGCAATTCCGCCGCGGAAATGGATCTTCCAATCATTATGAGTTGTGATAAACAAACTAGAGTTTTAAAAAATGACTATGCGAAAAAACTTGATGAGTTTGGTTTACCAGATCCGAAGCTAATCTCAGAGGATCAGAAAATTGATAATTTGACTACCTGGCCACCAGTCACTTTGGGACAAATTTTTCAGTACATACTTAACAAAAGGGAATTCGACACTGAGTATATCGGCAAATACAAGGACCAAAAAGCATACAGCTATTTTGACAGCGGCTTTGTTGGAGAAATACTGACGAATAAGACAGGCCCTTTCATAATTTTACTTTGTAATGTAAGAGCGTCCAAGTCTATAAATGAAGAAAAAGACCTTTGGGTTGCAACACAACCTGATGGTAAAGTTCTTACTGCTTGGTGCTCTTGTATGGCAGGTGCCAGTGGATGTTGCAATCATATAATAGCAACATTGTACAAAGTAGAATATGCTAACTCTCAAGGATTTTGTTCTTCTGCTTGCACCTCTATTCCCTGTGGATGGAATAAGTCAACAAAAACTATTATTGAACCTAAAAAGATTGCTGACATTGTTGTCAGAAAAAAACTAAGGTCAAAACAAGCTACCAGTTCAAATAGGGAAGAAGTTAGGATGGCTGAATTGAATAAGTTTGACCCCAGGGAAAAATTGCAACAAAATATGACTAATGAGCGTTTGACACTTTTATTAAATGGAATACAAAAGTCGATCTAATCCAACTGCTGTACTTTTTAAGTCTATCGAGGGAATGTCTATTGATTCAGTGACATGTCATAATTTAACTGTGATAAATAGAGCAAATGAGGTCTCAATTGGTTGTCAAGATAAAGATGAAAAGATGACAACACTTTTAAAAAAACTTTGTTTCTCTGAAAAAGAATGCGCAGCTGTTGAGAGATGCACACGAAACCAATCAAACTCTAAGGAATGGATTGAACATCGAAAAGGACGACTGACAGCTTCAAAACACCATGAATATTATACCAAAATTAACACAATAATGAAAACCAGAACTCCTGTCAAACCAAAGACTACTCCATCAGTTTCAAGTTTATTGCACCAAGACAAAAAGTTGGACAAAGTTGCAGCTGTCCAATGGGGGAAATGCAGAGAAGAAGAAGCACTTAAAGAGTTCTATGCTCTAGAAGCAACAAAACATGTTGACTTCAAGCTTGAGAAAAGTGGACTCTATTTGGACAAAAATAGGGCATACATTGGTGCATGGAGATGGAATACTGTACTGCAAATGCCACGGTAAAGCTGTCATTGAAATAAAGTGCCCATTCAGTATAAAGGATAGTAAAATAGCTGATGGATATGGAAAGTGTGACTTTCTGACATTGGAAGATGATTCAATTGTTCTTAAGACAAGTCACAAGTATTACACACAAATTAATTCCCAGATTGCTCTAAGCAATTCTACATGTGGATATTTTGTTGTCTGGACATCCCAAGACATTCTTGTGCAAAACATTGAATTCAACAAAAATCATTGGGAAGCTGTATCTACAAACTTGGAAATATTTTTTAAAAGTTATGTGGCTGAAAGAATTTTGAGATTGAACCCTATCGAGTTTTGTGGATCATGTGAAAAAGTACTATTTGAAGAAAATGAAATTGCAGAGAATGAACTTGATCTTAGAAGTATTTGTTGTGACCAGTGTAATTGCTGGTATCACCTGAAGTGTCAAGGGCTTGATGATGTTGTGGATGGAGAATGGTTGTGTTTACTTTGTTTAACAAACATTTCTGTTGATTGACAGTATACCGGTCACATTTTAGGAACAGTTAATATTTTTAGACTTTTGTAATTTTGTATTCTTTTATATTTTAACCCATTGAGTGGCAGCACTCTCCCCCTCACAATTAAAATCACCTGGCTTTAGACAGCAAAATAATAAAGTAGGATACATCTGGGCATTGAGACTTAAAGGTTTAACCTTTACCTTAATCCTAACTCTTACTAATCCTAACCCTAATCTTAATCCTAATCCAAACCATAATCCTAATCCAAACCATAATCCAAATCCTAAAAGTCTAAAAATAGTAACTGTTCCTAAATCATGACTTATATGATTAAAATCACTGTAAAACCACTGTAATATTTCTGCATTCCCTTGAATAAAGTCTTGGGAAATTTATGTGCAATTCATGTGTCAATGTCAATTTTCTCAGCTTGCAATGGAGGAAATAAGTTCACTAATGCACAACATATTATAAGAATGTCATCAACCAATGGCAGTTCCAACATAGTAAGGTCCGTAGATAAAATTCTAAACCATTTAACTCTTGCAATGGCTTTTTCAACAAAGATTCTTACATTGGCAACTTTACTTGTAACAGCGACATCATCTGATATCATTTGATTGCCTTTAGCTGCACTTGGAGGGATTGCTAAATAGCATCTCTTCATTGTGAGGTCTGACTTTATCTTAAACCCCCTGTCTGCCATAACAGTGTCATAAGGTTCAAGTAAGTCTAAAAATCCAGAGTTTCTAACAATAAAAACATCACTTGTCCTTCCACCATAACATGGAGATATCCATGAAACTGCTCCATTTGGTGTGATGGCTATTAAAAACTTGAAAGTGTAATGGTGTTTGTAATCACTCCAAAGATATGCACCAACCTCCAGAGATGATGGCGTCTCCAAAAAAACTTCTGAGCAATCAATGATGACTCTGACTTTTGGATAAAAGCGTTTGAAGGCATCTGGTAAAGTAGCATATATTTGACCTTTAGATGGCCATATAATGAGGTGCCGTAGTTCTTTCGATAAAAGCTTGACCCAAGTTATCCAGATTTGAGAAATTCTGGTGGTTAAATTTGAAATCTAAAAGCCAAGTCCTTAATGAGCAATCCCAGACGCAATCTCATGACAGTTAATAAAAATTCTTGTTCTAAGGTAGTCTTTCGCTGAGGTCCTGGTTTGTTAATGGGCAATACAGATCCTTCCGCATACACATTTGATAATATTATGGTATCAATTCTTTGCTGATTATGTTCTTCTCTCTCTACACCGGAACTTCTTTTTACACCTTCCCAATATTTCATCAGTCGTGCTCTTGGCACTAAAAAGTTGAATATTTCTTGGAAACTTTTTGTGCTCTCAAACCCAGTAAAAAATCTAACATCACTTTCTCTAGTAATTTGAGCAAACTGCATTGCAATGGCAATGTTGACATTATCAATAGCAGGAATAGGGTTTTCTGAACATTCCTCCTGTTCATCCATTGTTGAACATGAGGGCTGCATGAGGAAACTTTTCTTTTTTTTGAAGGACTCTCTCGTAAATTTAATTTTTTTGGGTGTCGGTAGTCATCTAATGTCAAATAAAGTATGGGATTTGGATTTTTATTGGTGGGTTTGCCATCTGGAAAATGGTTTGAACATATGCGGCTGTTATCAGTTGGAACAAACTCACATCTCCCTTTGGCCACAAGTGAAGCCCACTTCCTCTTTCTATCTTCGTCTTTCGTAGGAAAGCGGTGCCATTTTAACTCTTCAACATGTTCCATGACAACTAATCTTTTAGGGCATCGTTTATCATTGTCACAGGGTCCAACGCAACATCGATCAGCGCGAACCATGTTTTTTAGCAATAAAAAATTAATAATTCATTATATTTTTATCATTCGCCATCTTGGGTTCAAAGTCCAACTTGCTACCCACGCAAAATGGCGGCGATAACCCGGAAATCGTTTATGCAATTCTGACAATGTAAACTCTGTTACTATATAAATGTGAAGTTTTTTAATTAACTTTGAAGTTAGAAAAATCTTTTGAATATTGAAACAAACCTATAATTGCTTGCAAATTCAGGTAAACCACAGGCACAGCTGGCAGCATGGCCTAGGTGTTGTATTTGTACACAGACTTGATTTATAGTTTCAGCAATCTATGAACTCATTGAGTCGCATTGAGCCCTCGCCGTCCTGATGGGCCCTACTTTATTTAATATTTTACTTTGTCTAACGCCAGACGATTTTACTTGTCAAGGGGAGAGTGCTGGCGCAGCTTAATTGGTTAACTAGCCTATACGTCTATGTGTCTAGTTAGTGCATTGAGTTACATTGCACCCTATGTTATTATTTTACTCTGTCAGTCTCTATCTACCAGCAGACAAGTTAACTTGTCAACAGAGAGCGCTGGCGCTTAATAGTTAACTAGCTTATATGTCTATGTGTCTAGTTAATCTATTGAGTCGCACTGCGCCCCGATGCGCCCTACTTTATTATTTTACTCTGTCTAACGGCAGACGATTTTACTTGTCAAGGGGAGAGGGCTGGCGCTTAATGATTTAAGTTCTGAAAGTAGCAAGAACCACCCATGTGAGGCTTATGTTTTTATATACCAAGGATACAGCCACAATACATCCATGGATTGTCGGTCCACCTTTTGTGTTAACTCAGTAAGCCGCAGTGTTTCGCAGTGTCACCATCAGTCATTTGCTTGTTTTGTATATGCGATACTGAGTAGATATGTTATGTGCCCCAAAGACAGTCGTGTTTACAGGCTATACCTGTAGTAATTGGGCTACTTTGTTATTTCGGTCTTATATCAGTCAGATATTTAAATTTACCCTTAAACAGAGTTACCGTACTGTAAGAGTATTGGGTTTATCAGTTACAGTGATGCAAGATTTTTAATCTCTAAACCTTTACCATTTTCTTCTAGGTCTTGCAAGGCAAAGTTTATTTACTAATGGCAGAATATTGTGAAATAATGTGTCACTGACTTTGGCTTATTCCTGCCTACTATACTGAACTATATGTTGTGTATTAAGATTGACTATGACTGTAATATTAACCCTGTCAGTAATTGCCAAGTGCAAGTGAGGGTTGATCTAATTAAAAATGTATTATTATTTGATTGCAAATAGTGTTCTCAATTAAATTGTCAGGTCTAATAAATATTTTTACCAGGACTATTGGCAAATATTGTTCCCAGTATTGTTCCTTATGTTCAGTAGTGTACTAAACATTTGACCATGGAATAACAAATTCATAAACTTTTTTATCCAGTGTGTATTATTTTAGTCTTTTTGAATTGATCACATGTGAACATTTCCTGCACATGTAAACAACACATTCATATGGGTTTTCTTCTCTGTGTGTTCTTTTATGTGTTAACCCATTGAACCGCAATGCGCCCCATCTATTTTTTTACTTTTCTAACGCCAGACAATTTTACTCGTCAATGGGGAAGCTCTGCCACTTAATGGGTTAAGCACCCTGGTTGTGGAAGTATGAATATCAATGGATACAAAGACATGGTGTATATCATATAATTTATTAATATACAAATCAAAGTACTTTGCCAATGCAGGAAGTTCAAATAATATACACATACCAGTAAAATGCCTGTCACATACTGATACACAGGCAGTCATAATGGGTTACATACAGTCACTAAAAACACTTTTAACTGCATGTACCAAAAGAGAAATTTGTCACCTTTCTCCGTAGTTACTTAGTATGTCAGCCATATTACTGGTAGTATGTGTGAGATACTGTATGCTAAATAAAGACCAGAAAGTTAGAAATATGACATGCTAGTGAATATAGAATACTTCAAGTTATCTTTATTAACATGTACAGTACATAATTCAAAAATATTTATAACTGTTTCAACTGTTAGCACAGACATGATACTGTAATTCCTTTCAATGTGTGAAAGCTTTCAAAAATTCAATATAGTTGCTTACAAATTATCCATCCTTGTATATTGATTAAGCCAACACTAGTAGACTGCGAAATTAAGAGATTAGACAAGCCACAGAATAAAGAACAGTAACAGAAGGGCAACTCAGCGGTGCAACGTGTCCTCGTTTTTTTATGCAAAAATATGCAGTTTACTGGCCAGAAGGCGGAGCAGCCAGCCAGTACAGCGTGTTTATTGGCCAGAAAATGTCATTGACTGGCTAGGAAAATGGCGGCCAACATGCGTAATGCGACATGCGCGAGGACAAAAACTTCAAAGCTTCCGACGTAAGTTGCCCTTCTATGTGAATCTTTATTCTATGGACAAGCCTCCTGACACTGAGCGGTAGGTCTATGTATACTTTCGTTTTAGCTGTTATCTTTATTTTACGTCGCCTGAGCAAAATCCATTCGATATCACTTAATTAAATCTTATACAAGAAGTATTTTAACATGTCAACAGAAAGAAATTGACCAGTTTGCCTTTGCCAATCTGTTAATTCGAACGTGATTTTCTCATTGAAGGTTTGTTTCGCACATTGACCAGTCCCCATCGATTGTTTCCGCAATAATCCACAACAGTTTTCTATTTCACAAGATGAAAAATTCGCCCTAACAGATTTTGCAATTCACTCCTAATCGCCGCCATCTTGAATTTTTTCTATGCTCATGGGCAAGACCGCTGAACTTCATGATCGGCAGTTTGGCCGATTTCGCAACATTTTATGCCAAGCGTGTAATTAAATTTGTTTGGTGTTTGGTGGTGTTTGGTGGTGGTTGTTGTTGTTGTTGTTGTTGTTGTTGTTGTTGTTGTTGTTGTTGTTGTTGTTGTTGTTGTTGTTGTTGTTGTTGTTGTTGTTGTTGTTGTTGTTGTTGCTTATTATACTGTTCTATAAAAGAGGCAATAAAGTCGGTTTTCTACTAGCGAATTTTCTCACACGAAGCGACCTTTTTCCTTTGTCGGTATCACTTATTACGTCAGCAAGACGTGGCAAAATCACCTCGAAAACGAGGTCGGCATTCGGCAATGCCGGGCTGAATGCAAATTTTTGCCCACCTTAATTCAACCAAAGTAAGAATTTTTTATGCTGATAGCTTTTAAAATGTCAGCGAATTCGATTATATAACTGGACACACTACGGTGTAAGGTTTAAAAACTGACGGGTATTGTGTATATACGTTAGATGTTTGAAGATCAAATTTCGCGCGTCTGGAGTTAAAATTTGGCTCCAACTTTCGAATTTTCCGGCTGGAGGTAACGTTCCAGTTATATTCCGATTTCAATGATTCGTAAATGCGTGATTAATAGTGCTCCATGACGTGGAACAGATTTTAAGAAATGCCGAGATGTGCCGACTTAGGTCAGACTTATGTGCCGACTTAGGCCCTCTTTTGCCGACCTCAATTTTGACGGTTTTGACTTTTCGAGGGCTGCAAAATGGATGATGACAAAGGAAAAAGGTCGCTTCGCGCAGAAAAATTCGCTAGTGGAAAACCGACATAATAGAGGGTAATAAAGCTCATTTAAACATGCACATTTACTATAGATGGCCCTGAAGGTGTAAAATGGGAACTGGGATTGATCTATTTTTAGACTGGGAAAATGGGATTTGGGTTGCTGGGACTGGGATTTGGCCACTGGGAAATGAAGTCCTCAAAAATGGGAATGGGATTGAAGGAATGTGAGTCGATTCCCAATTTTGATCCGTTTTTGGTGTCTTTAGTCATGATTTTTGTTGTTAACTATATTATTCACAGCATTGCCTGTGAACAGGCATACTCTGGCGCCTGGAATTTTGGGTTTTCTGATTATGCGTGTGTCAGAATGATGCACATGCCATTTCCGGAATTCAAATTTAAAAATTTTCCGTGCCTTCGGCACGAGCCGCCCCCCAATATTTCATAAAGTGTCCGCCACTTGCACACACGGTGGCTTAAAAGGTCTTAAAACTGTTTATTCTACCGATAATTACGAACAAGATTTGGATCGACTGCCATTTAAACATTTTAATTAAGTAACTTACCCAAGGTTACGTCGTCCGGCATATCACAAATTGAAAACACAAATTATCTAGAGTTCTAATAGCAAGTAATTGTATTCCTTCCACTCGTGAGCTCATTACAAAAGTAATGTCCAGGCCTTGTGACCCTGGATGGGCACTTAAAAGGAAAGAATACACACACAATTAGTTCTAATGCGCATGTCGTTACTTGATGACGCAATTATTATGCAATAGAAACATGACAAAGATACTCAGATCTTTCAGTCTTAACAATATACATTACCATAATAATAAAATTGCCAACTGCTAGATAACAAAGAACCGGAGATGACGGTAGCTGTATGCTGCCCGCAAACTCGAGTGGAAGCTGGAAGCTTTCCCGTGAAATCACTTATTGCGAACTCCGTCATCTCCGGTTCTTTGTTATCTAGCAGTTGGCAATTTTATTATTATGGTAATGTATATTGTTAAGACTGAAAGATCTGAGTATCTTTGTCATGTTTCTATTGCATAATAATTGCGTCATCAAGTAACGACATGCGCATTAGAACTAATTGTGTGTGTGTATTCTTTCCTTTTAAGTGCCCATCCAGGGTCACAAGGCCTGGACATTACTTTTGTAATGAGCTCACGAGTGGAAGGAATACAATTACTTGCTATTAGAACTCTAGATAATTTGTGTTTTCAATTCGTGATTCTACCGATAAATAAATGTTTTTTATTGACTGGGATTTCAATAACTCGGACTGGGATTTCTAATAAAAATCCAACTGGGACTGGGATTTTGCCAAAATTTCAGGTGGAAAATGGGATTGGGACCCCCCCCCCTCCCCCACACACTTCAGGACCCTCACTATAGGCTAATGACTCGGCAAAATTACCAAACAACAGTCGGCAAAAGATCACTCACACTCCCCCACTCGAAGCTGAGGGTTAGCGCCGCCCCTGACTGAAATATCGAAATTTAATACGTATGCGAGCAGGCTACCCATAGCAAAGACAGATAAGTAGTTTATGTCTGGTATTGTATTCTCTTCTAAGTTCTACTTACTGGGGTTTCTTACTGAGATTTCACTCCAGTTATAAAGTGAGGTCATCGGCGAAGGTAAAATATTTCAATTTCCGAAAATCAAAAGTAATTCAGGTGCAAAACGTTATATTCTTGACTTGCAACCAATCTCCTCCTGGTACACACCAGACAATTTTCCGATCGATAAAATCACAAAATAGACATGACATGGTATATCTATTCTGTGATAAAATATTCTTTTGTGCCATGCCATCTGACATGGCGGGTGACGTGCAAGTCAAGAATAGAGAAAATGTAAAAATCAGTCCAGTCCAACAGTCCAGTCCAGTCCAACTGTCCAGTCCAGTCCAACTGTCCAGTCCAGTCCAACTGTCCAGTCCAGTCCAACTGTCCAGTCCAGTCCA